TAAGTATTTTTTTTTACTATTGTTCACTTAATACAAGGCTTAAAAGTCACTCAGGATATAGGATTACTCAATTAGGTTGTTTTATGAACATAAGAGGTGGTATGAAGTGCACATTATGAGATTATGTAGGATAGATAATGGTTGACTCTTGAAGAGATTAAGATTGTACTGTTTGAGGAAGCATCCCCTTGGAAGTCTGTTCCAAACAGAACTTCTTACCAGTGGAATATAAAATGAATGAGGATGATTCAACCCTGTGTAAGTGGAGATGGTGGCTCTTAGCTGTAAAGGTCTGAACTGGTTGAACTAAGGAATGTAGCATGTCAGAACATTTTCCACGAAAAAATGAAGAACATTTGAATAATTTTCTAATGCTACTAATAATAATAAAAATATTGGTAAATTTTCTATTTTTTTCGATTTGTTTAAATAATTCAGTACAGTTTTAAGAAAATAGTTTTTGAGAAAATGAAAGCAAAAAGCTTACTTGCATTTCAGATCAGAAAGTGACAGTTAAAATATCCCTGTCACATAATGAGGAAAAAGGACTTGGAGAACTTAACACTCACAGAACATACTGAAGGCAAGATGGACAGAGGAAGGCAGCATTTCAAGTGGTTTTTCCTTCTTCTTTATCTTGCTTGTTATGGTTGTATATTCATGGTTTCAGGTCTCTGTTAACTGTGTTATGCGGGATTCCCGTCATTGGACGTAATGACAAAGTTTCCCAACCTTTTTTGCGCCAAGTTTGGCTGTTACTAAGCTAAATTTCGTCATTTGACACAGCAGCAGCAGTTCTTACACTGCACACAGGGGGAAAAGGAGAGGAGGAGGAAAGTAAGAGAGATAGAAAGATAGATACAGAAATTAAATTTCTGACAAATAACTTACCTAACAAGCTTGTGTAAATGGTTGTCAGAATAGGGATTTGATAGAGAAAGCAAAAAAGATAAGTCTTACTTAGAGCTACAAAGGACAGTAAGTTGTGGAGAGCCAAGATTGCCCACATTCTGAAAGGACATGGCATACAAAAGAATTAAACAGATTATTTTGACTTATTTAGATAATTCCAAGATTACCTTTATAAAGTCTTTTAGCTTTGAAACAATTACTCCACCTGTTTCTTCAATCTTGCTTAATATTGAATGCTGTAGAGTTTCTGATACCAATCTTTACAGAGATAATATATCAGTTTCAACCTAATGTAATATCTCTTCATCCAGGATTTCCATATTTTTCTTTTTGATCCTTGTTAAATTGTAACCTTGACAACACATGTGGTATTGTATTTTCTTTTACATATTCAATGTCAAAATCATAAGCTATTAATTTAATGACCCATCTTAGAATAATGGAAGAAGTAACTTTTGGTAGCTCCTTTCTAGGGTTAAAAATAAACTCTAGAGGTTTATGTTTCAACTTTAATAGGAACTTCTTGCCATAATAATAATTGTTGAGTTCTGCCTATGCTCCAGACAATAGCCAATGCCACTTTTTTTCAATATTTGAATAATTTATTTCTACTGCCATAAATCTTTTTGAAAGATACATTATTGGCTGACCTTCTTGTGATAAAATTGCTGACACAACTTGCTCATTTGCATCCATAGTTAACATAACCTCCTTTCTGGGATCAGAGATATTTTTCTGTGAGTATCTCTTTTAAATCCTCAAATGCTAAGCTTTGCCTTTGTGTCCATTTGAACTCACTATTCTTTTTCTGCAGTTCATCAAATGGTTTTATTAAGTTGCTGTATTTTGTTTGGTTTATTTTTTAGTATAGATATCTATCTTAAAAAGGATTCTAATTCTTTTTTATTAGTAAGTATAGATACCTCTAAAACTTTCTTAATTAATTTTGGATTTGGTTCAATGCCATCTTTTGAAGTTTGGTACACTAAATATGATATTGTATCACAATCAAATTCACATTTGTCTCTGTTTATTGTCATCCCCACATTTTTTAACTTGTTTAACACATCTTCTGTTTTTTGTCTTAATTTGTCTTTAGTACCAAGGTGAATATCTTGATAAATAATCGTATTACTGATTTCATCAGTTAGCACATTGCTTTCTGAAAAATGGTACTTGCTGTTTTCATTCCAAAAGGCATTTTCATCAATCTTAATAATCCTATAGGGGTGTATATTCTGATAATTTCTGATCAATCTGTATTTGATTGTAGGCCAATTTAAAATCAATTTTTGCAAAACATTTCATGCCCAATAATTTGTGGATAGCGGTTTCGATATTGGAAATAGGAAAAGAGTCCGGGCATATTTTATGATTTACGCCTATTTTAAAATCACCACATATTCTTATATCCCCGTCTGCTTTCTGCAAGACGGAAAATGGAAGAAGCCCATTTACTGTCAGCTGTAGGAACATGCTCCAAAATTCCCTCCCCTACTATTTTCTTTAATTTAGCATTTACCAAAGGTAGAAGGTGAATTTACAAGATTCAAAATACGAGTGGGGTATTACTTTCATTTAATTGTGTACTCACTTTATATCCCTTTAACACCAATATCTCACTACCATCTTCAGGAATTATGCACACGGACACTATCAGACTGATACAAAAATGCCCACTAGAATCCAAATGTGCAAACACATATTAACACCGCAAGACAAAGACATGGAAAATTTACCTGACCAATGAAAAATCCACGACATAGAAATAAAAGTGCCAGAATTTTCTCTTCCATAATTCATTTCATAAAAATTTCTGATGAAGCTTAAATGAAAATGAAGCATTTTAAATTACAAATGTAATCATTGTTAAACAGTTGTGAATATCAAAGGTTAGAGGTGGTTGGTATAAATCTATGACATTGCAAAACATTTATTTTCTTTATAGATGTAAGTTTGTTTTTGTTTTTTAATAAAATTAATATCGAAAGTATTGTGTCGATGCAAAACTTGATGTCATGTCAGCAAATGGTTTTATTAAGTTGCTGTATTTTGTTTGGTTTATTTTTTAGTATAGATACCTATCTTAAAAAGGATTCTAATTCTTTTTTATTAGTAAGTATAGATACCTCTAAAACTTTCTTAATTAATTTCATTTACATGACAAAATATTTTATTTGTATGAATTCATAACATCATTATTCAATCATTGTTTTTTCCTTGACTTGCCTTATGCCACCTTTCAGCTAAATTGTGTATTTCATAAGGGGTCGGTGTAAAAGAATACAACACTTCTATGAAATATATATTCTATTCATATAACTTTATAGCATCATTATTTAATCATCATAGTTATTTCCTTGCCTTCCTTTGATTTTGTGCCACCTTTCACCTAAATTATGTGTTCTATCATAAGACTGATTCCAGTTTTGATTTCAGGTAACTTTTTGAGGAATTTTTTAACATCTTGTTAAAATTTCTGGTCAGATAAATAATGTAAGGAGTGAAACCAGGTGATAGATTTGAAGACTATACTGTATGCAGAAGAACTTCCCATCCCAGCTCCATAGTCTATTTCTGAATCACCTTTGTTTCATTGCATAAAGATAAATTAACTTCCTAAATTAGAAAAAAGTGTTCTACTCTTTCAATTCTTCAAACAAGCCAATCTCTCTCTGTTGTATCATGCTGTAACAACTTGTTAAGATTCCAGTAATTTCTAACAAAGAATTTGATTCAAATCTTGTTAAGCCTAGAGAAGACATTTTTTTACATGTAGACTCCATTGAAAATTTGAAGGCTATCCTGGAAATAACCATAATATTTTTTATTTTCTAGATTTTTGTAATGAATCTGTTTTCATTGCCAGGGTCTATCTTGTCCAAAAACCTTTTTTTATATGTAAAGTAAAGAGGGAAAGGTAAGTTCTTAAATGCTTACTAGAATCTACAATGAAAAGCAAGTAAAATGAAGATGAAAGAAATACTAGTTCAAAATTAATACTGGTTGACAATGTTTTATCTAATAAGAATACAAGATAATATTACCAATACAGTAAATACCTGGGTTATGATAGTCCCAACTTATAACAATTTGTGGTTATGACAAAAAAAAAAAAAAATTATGTACTATGCATGATACACACTTTAGGCAATCTTTTGATAAACGACTGATGAGGCAGATTTTTTCCCTGCAGTAGGTTGTCATTTCTTTCTGCAGTAGGTTGTCTTTCTTTCTGCCATCCAAGGCTATAGAACCTGGTTTGTCCTTCTATTTACCCATAGCTGGGGGCGGGGAGAAGAGGATTAATACCTTTTCCAAGGGTATTAGCATGTAAGTGAATGCAATTGATTTGACTGGAATTCAAACTTGGTTTTCCATTTCCTCAATCCAAGTCGCTATCCATTACTCCTCTGTGGTTATGACGCAATCTCTATTAATCTTGTTTTGACTTATGCTGTTTTCCTCATACTACAATATGAATAGCATGGTGGAATAATTTTTTTTTCTTTTTTTAAACAGTAAGGTTCACTCTGTAAAAGGCCCAGTGGCCAATCAAGGTAGAGGGTTAGAATACATTTGTTTTTTTTTTCTTCCCCAGATTTGCTGCTGTTTTCAAGTACTGCAAGAGACAAGATTTTATGCTTGGTCGTCTCATCTGCTAAGAGCCAATGATATTACTGGCAATAAATATACAAACAGTTTAAAACAATTTCATTTCTTTATGTGTATTGTATATATGTCCTCCATGTGTTTTTTATAGTCCTAATTATAAGACATGTCATAGAAATGTGTTGTGATGTCCTAGATTATTAATTTATTATTACATTAGCATAGGTGACATAAGTGCTTATTTACAGAAAATCACGAGTATGTTCTGACTTACACAGAAAATTATGTTACAACCTATCATAGGAACAAAACCGTGTCATAAGTTGAGGACCCTCTGTACTAACAACCAGATAATGACTGTCTGAGAAGTAAGTAATTGCAATGAAAAGCAACTGAAGTTAAAAAAAAATAATTTTGTTTTGTGTCTTGCCTTTTAAAGCACAATTTTCAATTTTACTGCTTTCTTTCTTTTGCAGGTCTGGGGAAGAGGGAACATATTTAGAGTTGGAAAAGTGTTGTGAAGAGAAACTCAGGAAATTACACCCAAACAGGTAAAACCATTGATTCCTATTTTAATATGTGTTGTTTAAAACTTGCTATATTTATAAAAGAAGAGTGCTTAGGATCTGAGTGTTTATAGGTACAGTGTGGATACCAGAATCTACACTGCGTGTTGACTGTTGGTCAACATGATCATTATATTATTTGTGTGTGTATATATATATATATATATATATATATATATATATATATATATATATATATACACGCACATACACACATTCTACCAAAAAAGGTGTCTACAGTAGTGTTTCTGATAAAGCCTTCATCTTCAATACCATGACACTTTGTTCATTGAAAGGCTCAATTGTGTATCTCCTAATAGAATTGCCATATCAAACTGAATGTAACATCAACCTGGTTCTGAAGTCTTGTAAAATAGTTCCTTCCTGTAATTAATTCTTAGTAAACCTCAAATATTACAAGATGGAAGTAGCTGAAGTTGTATGGAGGTATCTATACTGTTAAGATGTTTTCACTATATAGAATGAGAGATACTATACAAAATGAGAGAAAATACATAACATGTTAAAATTTTATGAAATAAGATAAAAAAAATAAAAGTCCATCTGTGGGGGGAAAAAAAAAACCATGCCTTTCATTAACAACAGTTCAACTGTCTACATTTCTGAACAAAGTAAAATACTACTTATTTACAGACTGGCTGGGGTGGAGTGTGTCTGGTTAGGGATTTGACCTTATACTTAGGTGAAGGAAAAGGATTTTTGAAAGCATTTTTTTTTTTTTTTTTTTTTTTTTTTTAAAGAGTGTCAGTCAACTGCTGCTTCTGCTACTACATATATTCTCTGAACAAGTCCTGCTGTTCTCATGGCCTCAACTCAGTATTCCCATGAAACTATCACATTCAACCTCAATGGGAAATCTCTGGCTACCTTGACACTTACTTTGCTTATTGACCAATTAGATAATAATTTTCAAAATGAACTGTTACCTTCAAGTTTTTTTTTTTTTTATCATTTCATCTCAAGCAGGGTAATAATTTCACTAAGATGCCAGGAGTTACTGAGAGAGAAAGAGATTGAGAAGACTTTAGCAAGGAGAAAGAACAATTGGAGTACAGAATTCAGGAAGACAGAAGATGGCAGGGAAGTAAGAAATTGAAAGAGTTCCACAGGTGAGAAGTGTGGGAAAAGAAACTACAAGAATATGAATTAGGTTAGAGCTACCTATTTCAGCAGTAAAATGATGAGACCTACTTGCCACTCTAGTAGTACATTTAAATTCATGTAGTTGAGGTACCAAGGAGGAGAGTTCATTAGAACAATTGCCATGAAAGTATTTATAGGAAAGACAGAAGGAAGCCATGTCACAGTGGTGAGAAAGTGACTGAAATTGAGATGCAAGGTTTGGACCAATAATATTACAGACCCTTCTTAGATTTTGTGGAGAATCTCTGGATATATTACAGGGGCTTCAAACCCGAGATGGCAGCAATATTCAATGCACAGAGGAATGGTAGATTTATAAATATGCGAGATGAATTCTGGAAAGAGAAACTGTCTAGCACAACACAGTGAACCAATTTTTCTAGCAGCTGATCTATTGATTGATTCAATAAAATGATTCCATTTCATATCAGTGGAAAACATGAGGCCAAGAAGGTGCAACAAAATTGTTCTTCTGGAGGTTAGTATCAGTTATGCTGATGGAAGCAAAAAAAGATTTTCTATGATGATTAAAAGATAGCAATTTTGTTTTGGAGGGATTATAATTTACAAGCCATTTCTTGCCCCAGTTAACAACTGATTGGAGAATCATAAGTGTAAGCTTCTTCATACTCCAACTTCTAACAGATTCAAACCTACTGAGCAGCAATATTAAATTTCAATGGCAAACTTAAGAAAAAAAGACTAAGTCTCAAGGAATAAGAATAATTTGTTTCATATACATTTATAGAAAAGAAAGTAGCTTGGTTTAATGTATGAATTGGAAACAATATTTTTCATTCGAGTGAAATGCTGAAATAAATGTTCATGGAAAGGTTCATGATATAATGAAATGAAAGGTTCAAAATAGGTTTTAAGAAGAAATTACTCTTTAAATATATTATGTCCTTCTTTTCCAATGAAGAAGAAATCATTGATAGCCTCGTTGGTGTAAAGGTACTTAGAATTTTATGGTGGGTGTAGAGTAAGAAGGCTTTATGTGAACAAGTGACATTTCTCTCTTGAAGAACTGAATAAATGCTTATTGAAGTATCATTTTTCTAGGACAAAAGCTTTAGAGGCTTCTAGCAATTGTTGAAATTTTACAAGAGCCATTTGATTGGTGAAAAATGCTTTGGCAAATATGAACAAATGTGCCTGCAATAAGACATAGTATCAAAAGGACAGTTTTTCTCATGGCACCACTTTTTTTAACTACCTTCTATCTTCGGTAATGTTTGTTTTAAAAAGTGATGTTTAAAATTGGAATAAAACCTAAACTCAAGATGAAAGTGATCATATGCATTTTTTTTGTTCTTGAGAATTTACAATAAAAATATTAAACACTATTTACAAGAATAATTTTATATTTACAACATTCTAAAAACTAATACAATTAGAACTAATGCAATATTTACCATTTACTAATTTATAAAGAAATAAATGTGAAAACAATTTTTTTTATTCATAAATTTATGAACATTTACTAAATTATTAAAATATGTGAACCAACTCTAAGGAAATCCTTATTATTTACCATTTTATAAAGTTTGAATCAATTGCCAACCATTCCAATAAATAATATAATAAATAGTGGAACTAAACAATTTAATAAATAGTGTTTATTATTTTTGTTGTCAATTCTTAATAAATATTGTCAAAGAGTGGAGGTAGTTAAAAAAAGTAGGGTCATTGGAAAAACTGTCCTTTTGACAATCTGTCTTATTGCAGGTGTGTTTGTCCATGTTTACCAATGCTTTCAAGCTTTTGTTTCTGATTCTCTTGCTTGAACAGGTCTTATTTCTAGGTGAAACCTTTGCAAAGTTTTCAAGCTTACTTGCCATCTTTTTCTTCATCTGAATCTGAATTATGGTCGAGAGCATTTCCAGTAGTCACTCAACAGTATTTACCCAGATGGTGATTCCTAAAATTAGTCTGACCTATTAACTACATTTTGAGATTTTAACGATATTTCAATTAAATGATAAATACAAGATATGATTTGAAATTAAATATTAATTTATTATCAGCTGTCTTCCATCAAGCTTTGATTGGTGCCTCTGTATTGTGGTGGGATATATACATATATTTTATGTGTATTTGAGATGTATAATGATAAAAATATAGTTTTATGGCATGCTATAGTTATGGGTAAAATTGGTTAATATCAGTGATATATAAACAGTGGACATGAAGATTGCCTGAAACAAACTGTTTCCACTCAGTGTTGACCTCGGTGTCCACTTTTATTATATATATATATATATATATATATGAGTCATTGAAAAGAAACTTTCATTTTAAAATACTTCCAATTTATTTATTATCTACAATTTTTTACAAGAAATGGGTATGAGAAGAAAGAATTTAGCATGGGGTTTTATTTAAAATTCAATATGGGCACCAAATTTCACTACCGGCTTCTTGAGCTGCACAGGAATCACATCAACTGATTTCACCAGTAATTCTTGTGGTATCGAAGTCCTTACTTCTTGTATTCTCCACTCAAGTTCTTCCAAAGTCTTGGACTGGTATAATAGACTTGCTCCTTTACCCAACCCCAAAGAAAAAAGTTACAGGGTATTAAGTCAGGACTCCTGGCTAGTCACTCATACATAAAATAGGAAGTCAGTTTTCAATATCCCTGTGTATGTGTAATATATATACACACACACACACACACACACACACACACACATATATATATATGTATATATATAATATATATATATTCCCGCTTTTATAATGTCAATTCCCGAATACAACTTTGTTGTCACTTTCGTAATCCTCATTGTAGCAGATACAATTATAGTAATGCTGTTGAACAATACTGATGTCAGATGCCTTTGAATGACACTTGCACTAATTGTACTTGAAAAGTAACCACTGAATAAAGATCTGAATAGTAATCCGTATGGTGATCAGTATAGTAAAAGAGGATAGAGTAAAAAGAGTGATCACTTAGATGGCATGCTAATTTCTATATATACCTTTCCTTTGCCATCACATGATCTACTTATTCAAAATGGGATCACTTGTTTGCTCTCTGATAATCTGTGTTCAAACTCCAGTGTCACCAACAGCACTTTATTCCTATATATATATATATATATATATATATATATATATGTGTGTGTGTTATAAATTAACTGATTGAAAATATGTTTTTTTCCCCTACAGAGTAATAACCATGTTTCAAAAATGGAAGCTAAAAATTTTAAATTTAATTATGTAATTAAATTAAAAGCATTAGTTCTGTTTCATCTTCAAGTGAATATTGGAATAACTTATTTTTAAATTTACTGAGTTTTAAACGCACATATAAATTCATAATTTACTGTTTCCAAGGATGCAGAGAAATCAAATTATTCAGACAGGGATGGTAGGGTGTTCATTTTTATTAACTTTTGTTGTATCAATTATGAGTTAGGTTCGAAAATGAGGTTAAGTTTAGGGAGGGTAGGGGGTGTATTTTTCAATGAATTCTGACATCCATTAAATGCATATCATCTGGGTTTTTTTTTAATTATAAACAGCAAAAAGTTTTTTGGATTTTTTTGTTTACTTGAAGATTCTTTTTAGGTTTGTTTGTGTTAGAATACATTTTATTTAACTACAATTTTAAAATATTTTTACTCTTAATTACTAAATAGACTATATTTCTTTTTTTAAAAACAAGTAAATAGAATTACATTATTTAAAAAGTTATTTTTTCATATCAAATATAAGTATGTATATTACCAGCTCACATTTTTAAATTTTATTTTTAAATATTATTTAAGGAAAATTTTTGACAATGACAGCAAAAAATAGCTATTTCATTTCTCTGATTCAGTAAATTTTTATTTTTTATAAACTTAGTAATATATAGTTTCTCATATATGCACAAAGGACATGGGTCATTTAATGACCTACATATTCTAGCTTTTCTTGTTAATTTCCATTTTACTGTAGGCGTTTTATTTGATTCTTTTAAATGCCAGAAATACTTTGAAAGAAATCAGACATCACTTTCAAAAAACACATTTTCAATCAGTTAATTTATAATATCTATGCTCTGTAAATTTACATTGAGCACTGTTTTGTTAAAATAAAAATATCAATAAGAGCACCGGATTATATATCTTACTTATATATATATATATATATATATATATATATATATATATATATATAAAGTGTGCACACGTAATGTAATAGTTATTGGCACTAATGTCATTAAGAAAGGCAAAAATCCATTTCTTCTCCTCCCACCTTTGGGTTAAATAGCAAAGTTGACTGAGTCTTGGTTTTTAGCTTTATGTAGCAACCAGTGTATTTAAAATTCAGAACTATGGATAAGACAACAGGAAACTATTCTAAAAATGCATTGGTATAGTAAAACATGACTTCCAAAATCTAAACAAGAAAATTCCATTAGAAACAAAGAAAAGAATTCTGAACTGCTATATGGCAGTGATTGCTGGACAATTTCCACACAGATGAAGAGGAGACTTGCGGCAACAGAGATGTGGTTCTACAGAATGATGCTCAGAATGTCATTGACAGATCATGACAGCAACAAAGTTTTAAGGAAAATGGAAATGAAAAGGACATTTAGAAGCAGAAGAGACAGTTGAAATTTCTTGGACTCATAATGAGGAAAGAATGCTTGGAAAATTTGGCACTCGCAGAACATATTAAAGAGATGGAAGTAAACAGCGAGCAAACTTGTGTAAATTGATGGCAAACAGGAACTGGGACAGATAGTAAGTGAACCAACATTTTTTTAAAATTACAAAGGATATGAAGTTGTGGAGTGCTATGATCACCCACATCCTGAAGGGGCATAGCACATAAAAGAAGTTTAATGTCTGAAGTTACAGCATGTCAATCAAGTTCAAAATCATTTCTATATGCAATTTAAACACTTAGCTGCTATTTTTTTTACTAAGAAATCATCTTTGTCTTTGGGTTTTAGTTAGATACCTCCAGTAATTCTCCAAGAAAAGAGCATATCATGATGAAAAATGGTCTCAAACATGATAAAAACAAAGTTTTATCATCAAAATATTTGTTATTATTAAGATGAAAAACCAAAATATTTTTTGATCATTGTATTAAATTTTTTAATCCTTTCTAGCACGTTTGAAATTTTGTTTAAAAATTTTGTTTTCTTGTATCATCAGGGTAGGGTAACAAAGAGTAGTGTAGGAAATTTTGGTATCTTTTTTGCAGTAAAAAGCATGTTGATTTGAAAATGCTTGCAAAAGTCAAATAATTGTCAAATTTTAATTAAATTTTCAGGACTTCTTCACAAATGAATGAAATTATTTTTTGAAATTCTTTTTTGAAATTCTTTTTTTAATTTAGAAAATCTTGGTAGTTATATATTTTTTTTTTTTTTTTTTTTTGCATCTGTTACCCTCTACTTATTTAAGGAAAATTAGAGAAATTAAAATTCATATTTATATTAGCTAAAAGCAGGACTCCTCGGAGAATTTAAATCATTAATTTTTTTTGTCAAAAAGAACCGCCATTTACCAAAAATCTGTCCTATATTGTAAAATAAAAATGGCAATAAAATAAGACATTATTTAATTAGAAAAGCTTTTAATTGCTTTTATAAATAAGATATAATAAGGACACTATTCATCAAAAAAAATTTTCTGAAGACAATAATGTATTTTTACAAGTATTGTTTTTTTTTTTTTTTTAATTAGAGTAACTTAACTTTTAAATCTTTTAAAATTCTGTATTAATTTCACCCTTTTAGATGATATTAAGTAAAAATTATATTTACTAATCATAAATGGAAAAGCTTAGTCCAAATCATCAAACCAATATTTTTAAAAGAATTTTGTTTTGTACATGTATACATGTGCCAATTTTTGTAGATACAGATGATCATACATGGCATTACCATAAAATAATAGAGATAACTAGAGTAAATTTAAAGCCAAAATATACAAAATACAATGACATTAGATTACGGAGAATATTTTCCTAAATTTTTAAGAGAATTGAGTACTTAAAAATTATATATAAAAGGCACTTGAGTTATATTCAACAATTTTTTTTTTTTTTGTTTATGTATAAAGCTACCCTCTCCTACAGAACATTAGATAAACATCCATCTGTCATCATACTGTCAACACCTGAACATCTTAAATAAAAATGCATTTCTGTGATATTTTAAACTTAAAGTAAATAATATTTGTTTGAAATCAGATTACTTGTACTTTAAATCAGCTAATATTTCGCAAATAAAGTCCCAGAAAAGTATATTATTTCTAGAAGATTTTTTTTTTAATGAAGAGAATTACATTCTGATGATGTGTAGGTAAAAATCATGCTAAAATCCAAAATTTCTAAACAAAATTTAATCTATTAGCTTGAAATTAAAACCAAAATAAAAGCTTCAAGAAATATTTTTTATTTTTAATATTTTTTTTTAAACCTCAGGTATCGCAAATCTGTAAAAGTACCTAGTTCTAATCACTGTCACATTTGCTGCCACTTACGTAATGGTCCAGGTTGATGAAGGCAAATAGGTTCTTACTAAGCCTTTGATCCCTAGCTGTTATAAGGTTCAAAATTTTAAACCACTTTATTCTTAGTCAGAAGGCCTCATCCAAGGGAATGCAAACAAGCAGAACGTGGGGCATGACAGATAAACTGTTTTTTTTTTTTCCGCCCTTTCCGTAGATGCTCTTTGGTACATTGTATAAATTACAATTGCCAGTGAATCATTTTTTTCTTCCTTCCAAAAATATATCTGAAACAGTTTATGATGGATTTAATTCTAATTACAAATATACAAATGACTTTCCAATCTAAAAACAAAATGCTAGAATGTCACAAACTGAATTAATCAGTCATGTGAGGATGATTCAGCATTTATTTTATTCTTGCTTCCCTAGTGATGGCTATAAAATCTCATTGTAATAGCCTTCTGAAATATCTTGATACAAACCAAATATTGAAGCAATCATTACAGGAAGAAAGAGGCTTGATTGCAGACAAAAACAAACACTGACAAGGAATGATTACCAACCAACCAGTCTACCAGTCTATACCTATACAGCATAATGACAGATATTACAAATTTTCATCCTATTAGAGGACAAAAGATGTGAAAATGAAAATTAAGAATGAATACATTGTGTAGAAGATTATTAAAAATGGAACAATAACTTCATAGTCCTTGGCTCCTATTTGATCCTGTTGGAAATAATGTCACACTCCTTGGCACTCATTTGATTTAATTGAGAATATTATTGCAGTCCTTGACTCCTATTTGATACGGTTTCTAAAAATGCCACAGTTCTTGGAACTCATTTGATTTAGTTTAGAATAATGTTGCAGTCCTAGGTTCCTATTGGAAATAATACCAGAGTCCTTAAAACTCTGCTGACTTAATTGGGAATAGTTGTAGTCCGTGGCTTCCAGTCTGATCTTGTTAGAAATAAATCCACAATCCTCAGGCTTCATTTTATTTAATTTTGAATGTTACAGCCATTGGCTCCATTTGATCATGTTGGGGGGTAAAAGCCACAGTCCTCTGCATTTGTTTGATTTAATTGATAATAATGTTGCAGACCTTGGCTCCTGTTTCATCCTGTTAGAAATAATGCTACAGTACTCAGCACTCATTTGATTTAATTGGGAATAGTTGTAGTCTTTGGTTCCCAATTTGATCCTGTTGGTAATAATGCCACAGCCTTTGGCACTCGGTTGACTTAATTGGGATTAGTGTTGCAGTCCTTGGCTCCGGTATGATCTAGTTGGAAATAATGCCACTGTCCTTGTTTCATCCAATAGATTGTCTCTTGATTCTGTTGTAAACAGTTCTCTTTCCACTGGCTCCCCTTTCATTTGAAATGTTGCCACTTTTTCTAGATCTCTGAAAGGAAACAGTAGCATGATAGACAATGTTCAATCCTATTAAAAATGGAGATTTAAGTCTAAACAAAAATTTGCTAAGGTATTTATGAGAAATTATTTACTTATTGTATTTATCACGTCTTGACACATAAGAATACAACATGGATGAGTGAACAGTTAAAACTTTTGTTTATAATCTATTAAGTTTATCTGAATTACTTGTGAAGTCTATTTATCTAAGAAACCATATTTATAAGACTTGTATTCAGCTGCAAGATTAAGTATTTGTGAGGGGGTGCTTTCACTATGAACAAGAAACCTTTTCAAATTAAAAATCTAATGTTTGATTATTTGGAGAGATTATAAGAAGTGAGTTCAGCCATACAATGCCTTGTGGAGGGAGATGGGCTTGGGAAGGTAGAATGTGTTGAGCCAGTCCTTCAACCAGGGAAAGCATGCTTGCCTTAAAATTTACTATGTATGGTATGAGGCCAGATGGAAGTAAATGGAGATAGAATGATTGTGCTGAGCCTAGCATAAGATTTTGTTTGTGATTGTCACATCTCTGTTTTGTTCTGATTATGCTGGTTACAAAAAAAATTGAAATCAAACTTATTTAAATTTTATTGATTTATAAATTTTATTTATTCTTTGGCCCATGATGATGAATAAAATATATGATGTGGCTGTCATAATGAACATTTTTAGAGACTGTTGATCTATACTGAAATGTGTGTGAAATTCCTCAAAAATATAACCAATGCATGTTTAACTTTCTTTTTTTTCTTCTTTTTTTTAGCCGAGCCCTAAGAAAACCGTGTCCTTTATTGAATCTGTCCGATATCAACAAAGAAGAACGGAAGGATATCGAGGAAGACCTTCAAGTATTATTTTTTATTCTCTTAAAGATTCTTCTTTGAACTTCTTCACTATCTCCATCATTTCATTCTTGATCCAAGAAGAAAACTATTTGTCTATGGAACTTGAAAAACATTTATCTCAAATGCTAAAATTATAACCACTAGCTTGAAGTCAACCAAAGATTTGGTCAGCAAAATTTCTAGAATCAAAAATGCATTGGAGGTTTGGATATATAATAAGACAGACTGTTTGCATTGCTATCAGAAATATATAGGTGAGACATCTAGAAATCTGAATTATGAACACAGAAGGGACCTCCATTGGGATAAGTCATTAAATTCGTTTGTATCACATAGAAACAAAATCAACCATAATTTCAATTTTAAAATCTTACCTTAGTAAAATATGAATATATACTATGATGGGGAAAATACAGAGAAAGAACATAAATAAATAATCAATATACACTAAATATGAAGCAGACACATTTCATTACATCACCTACATTCAGAAAATATACACTTAAAAAAAGAATACAAGAGACATACATTTGCAAATGATATAAACTAATATTACACATTTCACCTCCAATATTTGTCATATACCCAATTTTTAATAAATGCTTTATATTCCGTGCTAATAGGAATATATACTTGAAAAACATGGTGGATAAAATGTTTATTGTAAAAACCAGTACAATAAGAATAAAGGTAACAGTTATGCACAAGGTTGTCGCAAGTCAATCCAGTAGTGAGTGCTACTATTGGAAGGTCAGTAGTGTTTGCATAAGTCTGAGTGGTACTCCACAAATCCCAACTAGACTCTGTAGTCCGTTGACTTACAGATATTTATAGGTAGTTACTACCTATAGTGTAATCACTCATGGGGGTGACAGGTTATTCCATTACATCATGCATAAATTTATATTCCAAAAATTAAACATGGACTTATGTGCCCCATAAGGTGTAGCATAAAAAGGATTTTTTTTTTCTATGACACCTTTTTCTTTTTTTTTTCTTTTTTTTTTTTTAACTACCTTCACTCTTTGACAATGCTTAGAACATTTATTTTCTTAAAAACAAATTTGTATCTTTGTTGTTGGTGAAACAGATTTCATAGCTCGCAGTATGCTAGAACAGAAAGAGAGAGATCCTCCTGCTTTGTAGCAGGCAGCCATCTTGATTAGTTCTTTGGTGGGTTAGAGTGGAGTGGACCAGCCTGTCCTACTTGCTATTGAAAGGGTAGACAAGACTGACTGTGAGGTCCTGTTTTTCCTGGGTTTATATTGAGGTCGGTAAGTGGTTTGGAAGTGCAGTGAGTGCATGTTGGATTGTCCTTTGCTTTGGTACTTAGTCTTAGATCTTTTTTAGCTTATCCAAGTATCTGATTTCTTAAGAATACCAGTGATAATGTTAATAATGCATTAAGAAGATAAGTAAGTAATACTTTTCAAGAGATTTAAGAAATATTTTTGTTTTATTTTATTTATTAAACTTTGCATACTATTACATATACACACAGATGCCATGAAATATACATGGGATGTTTCACACAACCAATAGAAACAGAACAAAGTAAGTCTGATCAGTTCAATAAGGAAAGATTGGTAGCTGATCTCAAAAGTGACCTAAAATCAACTGTTAACTAGGGCAAGGAATGGCTTGTTAATTGTAACTCCTTCAAAATAAAACTGTTTTGTATTAATCATCTGAGAGATTCCTTTCTGCCTTCCATCAGCATGGCTGGTGCTAACCTCCAGGAGAGTGACTTGTTTCACCTTCTCAGGCTTATGTTTTCTGATGACATGAAGTGGAAAAATTATATCAAATCAATTACTAGGTAATAAGAGATTAAATCAGAAAAAAAAGATTAGTAAATAAAATTTTAGAGATGAAGCAGAGACTTTAGAAGTGTAGAGTTAAACTAAGAGCACATGTGATTCAAGTGCATGTATTCAGATAGAGACAGTTAATTTTTGAAAAATCTGAATATATGATGTTAATGAAATTAACATATCTCAAAAGCCATTGAAAATCAAGTACAAGGTGATGTTATATGAAAGCAAATTGATTTCTCTTTCAAATGATACCAAATTTAGCTTTCTTGGTATTACTGCTTATGAGATGTCAATCATAACCAGTTCAATCCGGAATGGGGTCAGATTAATCTGTTATTAATATTCATTTAAATTGGTGCTTCTTGACAATTTCTTCTCCAACACCTTTTGCGGATATTTATAATGGCTGGTACTCTCAACTTCTACAAAATTATACATTTCTAGCACCTCTAGTTAATCATGTCTTGGGTTTATTGTTGCATATTGAAATACAGTGCTACTTGATTACAAGCACATTCAAGCACTCTTGGCCTTTAAGCATATCCAGCTTGAATGTACATTTGGGTGCATCTGGCTATGAAGTATTAAGATGGCAATCCTAGATGATACTTTATTCTCTCATAAAGAAATACTTGTTATAATGATTATGGTTTATCTTTGCTAGACAAATTATGACTTGCCCCATGTCTTTCTTTTTTATTATTTAAATGAATATTAATAGAAAATCAATCTTACTTCATTCAGAATTGGACTGCTAATATGGCAACCTTAGATGACACCCTAAAAAATATGGCTTCCAAAGAAATATATTCTCAGGACAAACCACCAATCAGATGCCCAGATAATTTGAAAGCAGAGAGTGAAAAAAGCGAGGTGAGTGAGTTTCTATTTCCGTGTTACTATGAATATTTTTTTCCAGTAATCCATGCAATCAAAGGCCTCAAAAATCTTCTCTCTATATGTGAACTTGTACAATAGGCACTGTGACCAGAAGTGAATCATTTGTTATCTTTTTCAAAAGTTGTTTTCATGTTACTATCATTTTTAATTAAATTTTATAAAAGATAATAGAGAGAAACAGTTTGCTATATAAATTAATTGCAAAATGATCCCTCTACAGAAGCCAAAACAAAATATGCTCATGCTATGTGCTTTTTTAATTTTTTAAATTTGAATCTGGAATGCTTTTTTTTCATATAACACTGTTTATTAACTTACTCTAGATTACAATATTTTTTTTTCTTTTTTTAATTTTAAGAAATCAAGTTGTATGAGCATATTTTTTGGACTTCCGTAGTGTGATCAATTTACAATATATTTTCTTAGTAAACTGAACTCCTCTATTCACTTGTATAAAATTTAATTAAAAAGAAAAAAATTATATTTATGGTATGGTGTGTTTAATCTAAAAAAAAAAAAATGGTTATTTCTGGTCATAGTGCTTATTGTCAAATGCCACCCAAAGCTTTTTTTTTTTTTTTTTTTGTACTGATGCTTAGTCTAAAAATTATTTTGGAGAGACAAAATTCACATAGAGATATTTAGGTTTTGTGGTTTCTTTGTTGACTATTTCACAAGTTATTTGCAATTCTGATCTCTTCACCACATTATAACCAAAAGAAGAAAATTTACTTTTCTGCATAGAATTTAAGGTAAATCCTTATACAAATTTTTCAGAATGGGTTGAAAGTAAAAGATTCACATATTTTAGGTATATCTTCATGTTTTCTGTGTCAACAGTATGTGTACAAATATAGAAATAAAACAAATGCTAAAAGCATATATAGAATGTATTGTAAATTATATTATGATAAAAATTTATTGGTGATTATTTTACTATAGAAATGCATTGCATTTCATTTTTACTGCTAGCTGTCCATGTAACCTATTATATTCCAAGCTCAAAGGCTACTGTGTCTCTGGATCAAAATTTGACTTAATCCAGTTGTTCCAAACAAATCATGTAATGAAGGGCATGTTGAAAAACACACTTCTAGTTCACTTCACATTAATGCAAGGGTCCCCCAGGCTCTATCTTTGAACCTACATTGATTATTATCTTCATCAATGATCTTCCCAGTGTTCAACTAGGAATTTATGCTAATGGCACTACATATTTATTCCTGTCTTAATACCAAGTCCGACAGGTTTGACACAGTAGAACTGGCAATTTATCTTGAAAAGGACCTCCAATCAGTTGTTACCTGAAGCAAGGAATGGCTTGTAAATTTTAATGGCTTCAAAACAAAACTACTTTCATTTAACCACCATAGAGAACCTTTTTCTGCCTGCCATAAGCATGGCTGAGGCTAACTGTCAGGAGAGCAACACTTTTTGCACCTTCTTGGGCTCACATTTTCCACTGACATGAAATGGAATAATTAGATTGGATCAGTTGCTAGGTCTGCTGCTAGGAAATTTGGTTAACAGTGTTGTGCCAGACATTTTTTCTTGTAAGAGTCCATCTTGCACATTTATAAACTTACCATTTGTCTATGCATTGAATATTGCTGCCATATCTGGTCTGGTGCACCTATTGTATATCTTGAGATTCTTGACAAAATTCAAAGAAGGGTTTGTAATGTAATCAATCCTGACCTGGCATCTTGACTTCAGTTATTTTCTCACAGATATGACATGACTTCCCTTTGTCTTTTCTACAAATATTTTTATGGCAATTGCTCTGATGAGCGCTCCTCTTTGATACCTCAACTGCATGAATTTAAGCATTCTACTAGATTGGCCACTAGGTCTCACTATTTTACTGTTGAACTACTTAGCTGTAATTTTTTTTTTTCATCTGTGGAACTCTCTTCTGATTTTTTGCTCATTGCCACCTACAATCTTCAAAAAATTTAAATGCAATGCCAATCATCATCTTCTGTCTTCCTGAACCCTCTCTTCACTAAAGTTTTCTTATTCTCTTTCACTCCTGGCATTCTAGTGGCATTATTGCCTTGCTTAGGATGAAATGAGTAAAAAAAAAAAAAACTTACAATATGTCTATGCTGGTTCAGAAATAGCACTAGGCTTTAGTTAGTGCATTTCACAACAGTTCATGATTTCTTAAAACTGCATATATACATTGTCAGACAATGAAATTTTTGTAAAGATGTTTAAGTATGTATGCAGTGGACATGTTAATTAATACTTAACAATGTTTTGTCTTTATAAATCATTTTTATGGGCTTTCTATTAAATTTTTTTTTCCCTTTCACAGAAAAAAAAAACACCTCCTGTTAGTAAAAAACCTGTGATGCCTCGGGGATACAAAGAATGGGACAAGTAAGTAATTATATTTTTTTTTTTTTTTCCAGTGAGGTTCACACAGGGGCCACTTGAGGTAAAGGGTTACCGAGTAAAAGGTACAGATAAGTGGGGAAGATAACGATTAACTCTAGACTTAAACAGGTAAATTATTATAATTAAAATTTTAAAAAAATGAAAACAATTCTTGTAAAAATTCATTATTCATCAAAAAACAATTTTTCTTAAGACAATAGCGTTCTTAATAAATATTATTTGTTAAATGAATTAAAGGCTTTTCTAATAAAATAATGTCATAGCTTTATTCCATTTTTTATTTTACAATTCAGAGCAGATTTTCAGTAACTGGGTGTCCAATTTTACAAAAAAAAACCTGATGATTTAAATTATCCAAGAAGTCCTGCTTTTAACTAATAAAACATTTTAAGATTTAAATTTAATTTCTCAAAATTTCATGAAATTATGTAAGTAGGTGGGAGATTAACATGTAAAAAAGAAAACATTTTTCAAAAATAATTTTGTTCATTTGTGAATAAATTCTGAAAGTTTCATTAAAATCTGACAATTATTTGATTTTTGCAAGAATTTCCAAATCAATGTGATTTTCACCTGAAAGAAAGTGAAAAAACACAAATCGTAAATATTATGTCAACTGCTGATGTAAAAAAATTTTTAATCAAAATTTCAAACATGCTAGAAAGGAATAAAAAATTTAATAAAGTAATAAAAAATACTTTGGTCTTTCCTCTTAATAATAACATTTAATTAATAATTTTGACAATAAAATTAGGTATCTCTACTTGTTCACTGAAAGAACAGAAAAGCATGATGAAAAAAGGCTCCAAACTTAATAAAAACAAAATTTTATTGTCAAAATGTTTATTATTTATGAAGAAACATTTTAAAAAAATTGAATAAAAATAATTTCATTTTACATGTAGTGTTCTGCTGAAAAGCTTAATTCTTCCTTTTTCTACACAACAGCGTGGATCCGTCAGAGACCAATTCCAGTTCTTCGTCACTGTATGTTGTGTTTTCACAATCAAATGCATCTGACTGCTTTTGTGATTCCCTTCATAAAAACTATTAATTTGATAATGACAAACTAACTTGAATTAATTTGAAAGTCTTATACAACTTTCAGTTGATGCAATGTATGCAACCAGCATTTTCTCCTCTTTGTATACTAGTTTCTAAATTTGAGGTTTAATTTGTCATATGAAGAGCAGTTAGCCATAAAAAAAAAAAATTCTTCATTTAATACCCATTCAATGTAATCCATATAAGATCTGACTGTCCAAGCATTTTTAATATTTCAAGAAACATTTGTCTGTCTTTGATGTAATGGGATAACTAATCGGAGGGGACCTTACTGCACATGTTTGAATAGACATTTTTTTCTGTGATGTGAGATGTCATTGTGTGACCATGTATACTGTGGCTGTCGCATTCACAATGATATCCTGTGTAGGATTTCTGCAAAATATTGTGTAACCCAGGTCTGTCTCCACACCCCTACCGTTCAAGATTTGGCTCTCTGGAACTTTTTTCACAAACTCAAATTGCCCTGAAAGTGGGCTAAAGAGCCATTGCCCTAAGTAGGATATTTTTTTCATTAATATAAAATGGTTGAATACTTTCTAGACAGATTTTTCTATCATCTTTTCCCTAAGGTGAGATAGTTCAAAATCTTTTACACAGCCTTGTGAGTGATGAATTATTTTCAACTTTACAGCGCCCTTTTCCAGTGACAAAATGTTGCCAGTCTCTCACTACTAGCTCACTATTTCCATGGCAAATATTCAGATGAAGTACATTCCTTAGTTCAATCTGTTCAGGCCTTTACAGCTAGAACCTGCCATGCTGTATACACAGGTTTGAATTGTCTTCCCTCCATTCATCTTCCATTAGTAAGAAGGAAGTTCCACTTGGACAGCTTTTTCCCAAGAACTCTACATTGTAGAACAGACCCACAAAATGATGCTGCTCTAATGACAACAATCTTAACCTATTCAGTCTAGGGTCAACCATTATATATCCTGCATATCTTCATAATCTTCACTTATTTCCTATTATATTCATACATAATAATAAATTCTACACTTGATACCACGGGTTATATAAATAGCTAGTATTAAAATAATTTTCAATGCATTTCTATAGTAAGATAATTTTCAATTCATTTCTATAGTAAAATAATATTCAATGCAAATCTATAGTAAAATAATTTTTTTGATGTGCAGTGACTGTTAATAATTAAATATAACTCAAGACTTTAATGTTAAGATAAAACTGTATTTAATTACAACTGCAAATAAATACTTAAGAAAAACAAAGAAGTAAAAGTCAACCAAAAATAATTAACCATTTCAATGAATACCTTGTTAGTAGCACAGCTCGGCTTAATGTCCAGTAAATCCTAAATCAAAACCCAAATCATTGACACACAATTCACACTAATTCAACTGGATAGTTTCACTCAATAGTCACTCCAGTCAGTAGCCTGACACTGCTATTTATACACCTGGTGGAAAACATATATTCATAAGTCCAGAGTGTCACGCTTGAACCTTGGTGTTGGTAGTGACTCATTTTCTTCCTATATTCAGTGCAAATCTATAGTAAAATAATTTCCAATGCAAATTCTATAGTAAAATAATTTTCAATTCATTTCTGTAATAAAATAATTTTCAATGCATTTCCATAGTGGAATAATTTTCAATGTAATTCTATAGTAGATTTATTTGCAGTGAATTTTTATGAATGCTTTTAGTATTTTCTCTATCATTATATGAAGAAATGATGAAAAGTTCCTAACTCAGCTAAGAAGCGATTTGAAGAAAGAAATCTAATGTATAGTTATTTGCTTAGCTTTTAGGAAGTCAGTTAGGCCAAGAACTTTTAGCACTATCTTGTAGATATAATGCATTTTTTTAAATCCTGCTCATGATATCACATGTCATATAAACAGTAAGTAATATTAATTTTAAAGCTTATTTTTAAAATCATATTTGTGGCATGCTGAAAAAATCCCAATAAATGATTTTAATCTTTTTCATTTTTTTTTTTTTTTTTTTTTTTTTTTTCTCAAGTAATGCTAAACAGAACTGAATTATAAGTAGATGCAAAAGTTCCCAGCACATGTCACCATGTTCAGAAAATCTTAAAATTATCTTTGAAGTTTACTAAAATCTTTATTGCTCCTATATTTATGTACTTGATTGTTTTGTAAAAGTGATAATTTTACTTTTTGAGAAAAATAGTGACTGGATTTACAATGCACATTCAATACTGTTCTTTCTTTTTATGTACCATGCCCTTTCGGGATGTTGGCAATCATGGCTCTCCACCTCCCTCTGTCCCTTCTAGCTCTCAATAAGTTTCATCCCTCTGCTTCTGCCATGTTCTGTCATCCACTTACTTAAGCCCATCAGGTATTTCATGTGTTGCTTTCCCTTGTCTCTCTTTCCCTCTATTCAACCTGTGTGTATCAGATTCTCCAGGTTCTCCTTTCTCATTACATGTTCCAGAAACTTCAGTTGCCTCTTCCTGATGTTAACTATAAGCTTCCTCCTTGTTTGCATCCTCTCCAAGACCTCATCATTGCTCACACGTTTGATCCATGATATTCTTAACATCCTTCTGTAGAACCATATCTCTGTTGCCTCGAGTGTCTTCTTCACCTTTGAGGAGACCGTCCAACATTCGGTGTCATACAGGAGGACAGATGTCATGTAACAGCTCAGTACTCTTTTCTTTGTTACCAAAGAAATCTTCCTGTCTCACAATACTCTTCCCATCTTTTGGAATGCATCTTTGGCCATCCCAATACGTCTATGGATTTCAGTGTTGCACTTATCATCCTCTGTCAAAACACTTCCCAGATATTTAAACTTCTGCACCTGCTTGATTTTAGTGTCCCCGACTTGCAAATCGCATTTCAGGCTCGTCCTTTTACTGATGACCATGCATTCTGTAGTTGAATCCCTTTTTCTCACTCTCTTTTGCTACCTTCTGTCGGAGGTTTTGTAATTTCTTTTCTGTGTCTGCTATCAGTACTGTGTCATCTGTGTTTAATCTTGGGGGATATGCAAGAGGGGAGCAGTGGATCACCGAAACTTCTGGTAATGACGTAATAGGTGCAAGCCTGTGTCTGGAATGGTTTAAATTTATGAAAAGAAATGTCAAGTTCTAAAAAATGAGAAACATCCTGGAAGAATATTAAAACTTGAAAACTGATAAATATGAAAATATCGGATAAACATGTTGATGCATTCACTACTACTTTGGCTATTGAGAGCCTTACATCATGTCATTGATGTTTTTGTTAGTTTGAACTTTAATCTATAGTACCTTGACTTTATGAATTTAAGTGCAGTACTAGATTGGCAGCAAGGTCTCATCACTTTGCAATTGAATTGGCTAGATTTAATCATAATCAACAAGCAGCCAATATTTGGAAGAGCAATTTGGATAATTGCATAGTTATGTTAATACAACTGTGCCTGGTCAAATAACCAATCTGTTCTTGGTACTGAAGAAGACTCACTAATTTTTATCTTAGGGTTTTAGAAACAATTTATATTAAGTCCTGCCAACCATACTTTTGTAAGAGTGATTATTAGGCTTACATAATTAGCCTTTCATGCTTATAGATTTATTATATAACATCTGGTGCTTTTCTTAATTCTTGCTTCCAAGCTCTGACTCATTCTACCTGTGTTGTTAGTATCACACTAACATTTGTAACCTGTCATTCTTTAAGCACTTGTCTGTCTTTTCTTGCTCTAAATAAAAACATTATTTAGTTTTAAAGCTGTCCTGTTTTCACCCCTCACTGGGTTGTACTGATCATTTTGAAAGATTCTGTCAAAAATGCTGGAAACTTTTGGATCAACTCATTTGTCTGTACAGTTTAATATTAAGAGTATTTTTTTAGTTGCTGTATTATTCCTAATGGAATTTTCTTTATTTTTACCTTGTGTGGTTGTTCTGTTATTTATTATATTTATATATAT